GGAGAGCGGCGAGGGCCCTGGCAGCAGCCGGACGCGGACATGCACTGTGAGCTCGCAGGGGGTCAGAACGTCAGCGCCGATCCGGCCCGCTTCGAGGTGACCGAGAAATGCCAGGGATCAACTCTGAAGGAACTGCCGCGGGTGACTCGTCCTAGCACTGGTAGAGCTCTCTTGAATCCTCAGATGTCCTTTAAAATAACTGTCAGCAACGGCAGTGACCACCCGGAGCCTGAGCAGAGCCCCCCTGAAATGTCAGCGCCTCTGCTAGATTTCATCCCCAAAAGACCCAGCATATTTGAGAGGATCCCAATTCTGCCGAGGGCGCAGGAGCTGCGATGCACTAGGGGCTCTAAAGATTATTTCCAGCAGCAGAAACATCAAAGCGTGAAGGGTGAGTTTAAAAAAGCATGAACTACCACCACCAAAAAAAAAATCACTTAACAAAACAAAGATATGTATCCAGCTCCCCCCGCTCCCCCCCCCCTTTTGGTCTTCTGGATGCCTTCTAACTTGTTTATTTAACTGCAAGCTTTAAAACTTTTTTTTTTTTCTTACACACCTTGGAGGCACAGGGTAAACCAGACTGTTTTTTTGTCGATGGGAAGCAGAGTGTTTCTCAATATTCTTTAAGAAATTCTGAGACTAGCATCTTCTTTAGTTCTGAGTGACTGCTGCTCGGTTTGGTCACTTCTCAGAGGTGGTTGTTTTGAGGATGGTGCTGAACACTGGGTTAGTCTGTCCTGCGCCTGAGCGTGCGTGTAGCGTGTTTGTTTGTGAGTACGCCTGACTGAGAAGAAATGCCTAGTTCTTATTCAGCAGTTTCACCACGGTTGCTTGGATTTGTAGTTTGTATTTCAAAGAGGTGTTGCAAATGCTGTATTCAGGCAGTGAATCCTCAGACTTGGGATTCCTGGTGCCTGAAAGGCATGCTGTAAAGGCAAATTCTGCTAGTTAACAAATGCCCAATTTTCATCTATCCGTTGTTAAAGAAGTGGCACCGAGGTTGAGTTAGAAATTGCCCACTAAAATCTGATAGTAACCCTTTTGAGCCAGAACTTATTAATTGAGCTGGAATTTGTTAATCAAAATCTAGTTTTAAAATAATCCCTCTAAGGTATCACTGGATGAGAATTCAAGAATCCCTTTGTGCCCCAAAGCCACTTGCAGGGATGTATGTGCACCTAAGATTGTTAATATTAAGGCAATGTTTTTTGTGAAAGTTGAAAGGTAATTCTTTTTATCTTCACAGTCCTTTACGGTTCTCTATTTTAGAGTGTACATGCTGTTACCTTGTTGGTGTAAAACAGTTCCCACTAGGATTTTTTTCAGTTTGTCCCTTTCTGTTCATTCTTCTGAAAAATAAAAGCAGACTGCATGCCCTTGGACTAGTAACATTTTCTTTTGTGAGCTTGTTACCTAGGGTGATGGCACCTTTCATTGCCATGAAGTTATGTTAATGAACACCTCAATCTGTGCGAGGTCTGTCCTGCAAACTGTAGGGTGTGTTTGTTCATCACCAGTGAATACAGACAGAGTGGAGCAGCGGGTTATAAATTACCTTTTTTATTTTTCTGTTTGTTAATGCTGCAATCCTCCTCTCCTGATTTATTAAAAAAAAAAAAAAAAAAAAAAGCATGAGGTTGTTAATGTTTGGCAAGAATGAAATGAAGGTCTGTTAGACAGAACTGGCTTTGGAGGGGGCAGAAGGAGGATTCACAAGGTAGGAGGCGACAGCTAGGAGCTCTAGTATTGCTGTGCTGCCCTGGCTGCTGCCTGTAGAAGGGACGCGTGAGATGTTCAAGTCCCTTGTGGTCCCACGAGTGAGGTTGGTGCCACTTGACTAGGGTTCGTACCAGTTTAAAATCCTACCCATGCATTGCCCTACCCAAGCAGACTTGTTGAATTGCTTTCCTTCCTTATTTTTTTCTTTTTCCCTTTGAGCTACTTAGTCCTCTTTTTGTTTATATTCCTCTTGTGGCTACTGCAGAAGGCAGGGCTGTAGGGAGGGAAAGAAGAAAAACGTAATTTCCATTCACTTGCAACTTCTATGGTAAATGTAGGTGGGCATGGGAGAAGGTTGCTAATTCATCTTTCCCGACTCATCCATTTCCCGTTTTCACCACTGGGAAAAAAATTGTGTTGTAAGTTTTGTTGTCGTTTTTTTGTTTAATATATTTTCTGTCCAGGGTGTTACCTTGTGGTTGCTGCAACATATGGGTGACTTGAGTCATGGGAGTAAGTAGGAGGTACCCATGGGCAGGATAGGCTTATTTACTGAATGCAGTGATTTGATGGATAACGTTGGATTTTTCCGAAGACGCACTGGGTTTTTTTGGGTTTTGTTTTTGCTTTGTGTTATTTCTTTCCCTGTGAAGATATTTTTGGAAGTTAGGGAACATAAAATTTTAGGCTAGAGTCTGATTTAAAATGCATGGCTGTGTTGCTCCTTCTGAGCTGTATGGTGTCAGCAAGTGCCTTAATGTCCATTTGAGCATTTTGGAGTTCTCCCACTGAATCCTGTGAGCTGCCAGCCCCTGCTCAGCACTGTACGCTTCTGAGTCAGTTCCACAGAAATAACAGAAGTCACTCAATTGCTCACTGTGATCTAACTAAAATCAGAGCTCTGTGTATCTAAAGTGAGCCGTGGTGCAGATGGGAGAGCCCCTGGTCTTTCACAAAGTGGTGTAAACCATCTCCCAACTAGCCTGGTTCTCTCGGGAAGATAAAGAAAAGGACCAGGGATGGCTGTATGTGGATGTGATATAACAAGACATAGCTAAGAAGTGAGAATGAGGGAAATACTCAGATTTACCCAGTAAAAGGTTTTGGGAAGGAAACTGCTGACAGCTTGATTTCAGATCATCGTGCTGTGCGCCTCCTGCTCTCTAGCCCCACAGCACCGTGTACCCAGTAATTCCCTCTACAATCTGGGTTGGATTATAGAATGTGCCTCCTGGTTTTGGTTTATCAACAGTTGAAAGCTACATGTAGGGAGGGGAAAAGACCCTCTTTAACAAGAGCAAAATCAATTTTTATAGTTGCCTGTAAAAAATACTGCTTTTTCTAAACATGCCTTTACTTTTGTTTGTTTTTTTTTTTTTCAAAAAAATAATGAATCAAAATGATACACTAGCCTACTAATAAAAAGGGCAGCTTTGAAGTAATCACAATGGGGGAAAAAAGCATCCTGCTGTTGTAATGTCTCTGTGGTGTTATTCCACTGCTTCCCAGTGTTTAAGTTATGATCCTGCAAAGATGCTTCCGTGCCTGAGCAAGTCTTTTTACATGAACAGCCAAATGAAAACTTGAGGGGTGGTGGAGAGGATTACTTCTGGGAATCAGGTCATTTGGGACTAAACTTTGCAGGATGGGGCTGTTGATTGTGAACCAAAAATGGCAGTATTTTGGAATTGTGCTTCATGTTTTGTTCTGTTTGGGAGCTGTTTAAAATAAAGACCTGTTTTTCACCCAGCCTTCCTCTTCTGGTATGATTGTCTGTGATATACACCATGCTTTTCTTGATTGTTGATTTCTCTGTGTGTTGCAAGGCAGAGTATTTGCACCCAGACAGTGTTTCTTAGAGGCGTTTGTGGTCTGCTTGCATAGAATAACCGTACCATAAGGTACGAAGTCCATTTTACAATGTTTTTCTGGGATTCTGTGGTTTTGGTTCTGTTTTGTTGAATTTCATGCTATAGTATTACCATTTTGAAAATAACACAGGGAAAAATAATTATTGTCAACAGGAGAGAAACTTTTGGGAAAGAAAGCTTTAGTGGTGAGAAAAGAGTAGTCTATAAAGATGTCAAATATCTCAGTTTTTTAATGACGTTGATTATGGTTGTTACCAGGAAACACTTCTCATTCTTTTCCAGTTTCGTTCAGTGTACCTAATTCGTGACTCAGTAGAAATGACGAGATTTATCCTGTTTGTTGTGCCACTGGGAAATCATCCAAATGGCCCAGACCTTTGCAGTAACCACTTCAGATATTAACTTACAGTGGGCAAAACAATAAGCTGTTCGGGTTGCAGTAGTCGGATGTTTCCTTGTTGAGAGTATTTTTTATTCAAACAAGGAGACAGTGGGTTGGGTTTTTTGGGTGTGGTTCCCCCCCCCAGCTGTCGCCGCTCTTGGCAAACCTACAACCAACATATTGAAATGTATTAATTTTATTCTGCTGTGAGAAGGAGGGTTGAATCTTGCCATTGCAACCCCCTGTGACTATTCCTTTGGTTAGGAGGACGGTCCTTTCATAAGTCATAGCTCATGCTGTTGGGATCTTAACCAAAAGCATATGTTTTGGTTATATGACTTATGAGGTGTATTGACTGGTCTTGAGCCTGATCTGCCATTTTCTTTCATGCACCTTGTCTGTGTTCACCTGAATTATCCCACTGGAGCAAATGGGACTGCCTAGAACTGATAAATATTATATGGACTGGTAAGCAGGCAGGGAATGGGCTCACCGGTATGGCAATCTCTAAACTCTCTGTTTTATACGGAGCCGTGGTAATTGATTTTTCTTCTTTTCACTGTAGTTCTCTTGCTTGCAGCATTTGAACTGTCCTCTACAAAAAGGAATTTAAAGGTTTATTTGAACAGAACTTGCAGATACCTAACTCCTTTTTTTCATGATCTGGGTTTGTTTGTTTTTTGTTTTTTTTTTTTTGATAAGGGGACGAAGGAGAAGAAACTGCAGATTGGAGAGTGTGCATAAAGTCATTTGGGATAAATTGTGACTGCCCACTCCTCCCTTAAACTGGCTAAAATGCTTACTTGTCCTGAATAGGAAAATAACTTTAGGTTACTTGCTGCTGAAGAAGTGCTTCTAATGATTTGTGTTGGAAAATCAGAGTCACTGAGTTGAAGATGACTCTTTCATGGATTTAATTTAAAAGAGGTTTAATTGTATCTAACATTTAAATTCTTTGTTATTTAGAGATCAGTAGTAGAGAATATTTAGTAAATACAAACCAGAAGATCTAACAATCAACTTGTCATATAAAGGCATTCAGTACTCGTAAAGCAAAAAACCCCCTTTCTGCTTCATGAAAAAGACAGCTATTGGGAAAACTGAAGAGAATAAGTATTTTATCTATGGTAATATTGTGTAGAATTATATGGAAAGAAGTCTGATCTGTGGAGGAGATTTTGTAACTTCTTGAGTTTTGCTTGAAGGAATAGAAGTAGAAAGTAAGAAATTACTTGTTCTGGCTTTAAAATGTTACATTAACATGTGGAATGAAATTGGAGATTATCGTATACTCTGCTAAATGGGATTAGAAGAAAAAATTCTTTTCTTCTTTTACAGTAAGAAAAAATATAAAATCTAAGTCCTGCAAGTGCTTAAGTATGTGCATTTCTGTGTTCCTGTCAGTAGTCTCATCAA